TTGTAGTATAAACTATTTTTAGAATTTTAAGGCACACATATTTGCCTCCACGCACACATGACACTATTTGGTTAAAAATAAGAATATTATTAAATGAGAGTTAAATATATTATTCCTAAGATATTTAAAATCAAGGTTGAAGAAACCGTTAGGCAATAGGCAAGCATTGGGATCACTGTCGCCTAGACATTTTAAGCGATCATAACAATTTTACATATCGCGACGGTAAAGTGTAAGAAATAAGGTTGGGTCGACCGAAGTTAGATACTAACGGGAGAGGAACTGAAGCAATACATATTGAGACATGGTTTTGGTTGTTTAGCAGTCGATGGTGGGGAATAACAAGATAGAGCTTCATGTCAACCAAAATTGGATACATGAAGCACTCTAGTAGTAAACATTGATTTTCGGGGTAGGGGAGAAGTAGTTCCATTTCAGAGAGCTCTATTGACCTATTTTTTATATTTCAATCGAGGAAGGAGGCACATATAAGATGAGTTGTTGAGGGAAACTAATCAAACATAAGGATGATGTCATTTTGAAACATTTATATATTTTTTATCTTTAGTCGCCAGACTGTCTAGGCGGCGCCTAGATATTTGAAAGCCTAATTGTCTGCCTAGATCCACAAGGTGCCTAGACGTAAGCGGAATTCCGCTTTCTAGAGCGCTGATAAAAATAAACTATTAGATTAATTCGACATAGATGGGGGATACGAGGATAGACCTGATAGAACAAACTTATGAGAGACTGATTTGTATCAATACATGTATGAAGCTACATCCTGCATCTGCCAAAAAAGTTCTTTTCCTCTCCCTGTGTGGCTTATGAACATCAGACCCATAGCTAATACTAGTATATTACTGCTATGGCCAGTGCCAGTTCTTTCATTTGAAGAGCCCCCGCCTCCACCGGGTTTCAAAGGGGCAGCCCACTTCTGCTGTTGTCTGAGCTGTTACTGGACGTAGTAAATATTTCAACCCTCTGTATCCACAATTTTTCACTTGAAAGATGCACAAAACCTTGATTTCGCATAGTTATTTTTTTATGAAGGTGAAATATATTAAAGGAAGGGGGGAAAAGGTACAGGACCAGAACAAAGCACAGGCACAAGGCGTGCCCGAAAAAAACGAAAGAAGAAAAGTAGGCAAGTGCTAGACCAGCCAGAAGATCCCTGCGCCAACTACCGAAAGGAACACAAACAGAACAAACACAGTACAAAGCGAATACATACGAAAGCCAAAAGAGGCCTCGTCTACATCCCAGTTGAAAGGAACAAGTAAACTCAAACTAAAAGAAAGCAAAGTGCAGACAAGAAGCACATCAGCAGCGGGTCAGGTGTAGCCGCATTCGAAGCCAAGAAGAGGCAGCAACGCGATCTACATTTCCTTTAGCAACTACCCAGCTTGTAACGTTCTTCAAGACTCTCCTAGTTGTCTGATTTGGATCTTTCGAGGTGTTGTTAAAAATTCTATGGATACGCTCCAGCCATATAAACGAAGAGACAGCATGAAGCGCGCAATAATAGAACCATCCGTCCAAGCAGTCAGGGACATCTCTCTGCCAATCCTTGATGGTAGAACTGATATTCCCACTAAACCTGAAATTAATATTGTTGCAGCTTCTCATGATCAAGCTCCACACCTGTCGAGTGAAGCTACAAGACGTGAAAAGATGATCAGCTGTTTCAACATCTCTGTAGCATAAGTCACACCGATTGGTAAGAATCCAACCATGTTTCTGCAACATGTCCACCGTCAGTATCTTTCCGTGAGCCACAGTCCAAATGAAAAACAAATCTTCGCGGGTATCAGCTTCCTCCAAACCGAAGCCGAAGGGAAATCAGAGACGCCCGGGCACTTAAGCTTGCTGAGAGTTCCATACATAGAATTAACCGAGTATCCGTCTTCAGGGTTCGGGGTCCAAACTAGCCTGCAAGGGCTATTAGCACTACTGATAAAATCAATGGAACCAAGCAAAGAGAGTAAATTGATCCTTTCCTGTTCAGCCCCCCTACGAAGATAAAAAATGGTGTTTAAGTCAAAAGAAACAATATCACCTGAAAATTTCACGACGTCCTTGATCCTAGCTTCCGAGTCAGAGGCTGCTGCAGCAACCCGAGGAAGCCTTCTATCAAACCAAAAGGACACGTCGGTACCATTCCCGGGATTAACAAAACCGTGATTCCAAAACTGATCAGATTCTTTTACGATGCTAGCCCAAATCAAGCTTGAGCGCCTTCCCCTGCCACTACTAGAACGCCACTGAGTTCTTCCATTCGGGTACTTAATATTAATAAGATTTTGCCACCAAGCGTCTCTATTGACCCCAAATTTCCAAATCCATTTGCACAACATAGCACTATTGAACGAGGATAAGTCCCTAATGCCAAGGCCACCATTGTCCTTGTGAGATTTTTAGATCTTCCACTCAACAAGGGAAAATTTCTTCTTGTCTCCATTACCACTCCACAGGAAATTCCGTTGCAATCTTTCTAAATCATTGATCACCTTCATAGGAGCTTTGAAAAGAGTGAAATAGTAACCAGAGAGGTTTGACAAAACTGACTTGATGAGAAATAGTCTCCCTCCAGCCGATAGGTATCTGCAACTCCATCTTTCAAACTTCTTTTTATAGTTGTCCAAGATTGGTTGCCAAAAGGAACTGCCAGTCAGTTTAGCTCCCAGCGCGTAACCGAGGTATTTTGGAGGATTGGAGCTCCAATTGCATCCGAAGATGTCAACAAAGAACTCTAGTTCGGGGATATCCCCTACTATATACATAATATTCTTGTTGAGGTTGATCCTTAACCCTGTCACGGCCTGAAAGCACACAAAAGCTGCAGAAATATGGAGGACTTGATCGTGGGACACATCACAAAAGATGAGCTTGTCATCAGCGAACAGAAGCTGAGTCACTCCCCTTCTTGTGTAGACTCATTCATGAAGAAACCTTTAATTTTGCCTTCCGCTCTTAGCTTGTCCAGCATATAAGAAAGGATGTCCATTACTAGAACAAAGAGGCCCAGGGAGAGCGGATCTCCTTGTCTGAGTGCCTTAAACGCTCGAAAGGAACCTCTTGATTATCCATTAATTAAGACAGAAAGAGTTGGGGAACAAGCAGCGCTAGAAATCCATTGCTTCCATTTATCTTGAAAACCCAGTCTAGTAGGAACCTTAAACAGGAACCAGTTCACATTATCGAAGGCTTTTTCAATGTCGAGCTTAAGCAATAAGCCTGGCCTTCCACTCCTCCTTCTGCTATCAACTAGTTCATTAGCGATGAGACCAGCTTCTGAAATTTGCCTGCCTTGCACCAAAGCTTGTCGGGAATCCAAAACCAAAGGAGGGAGAACTTGGCTGAGTCTCCTTGCTAGAACTTTGCAGATCAGCTTATTTTGACTTCCCATCAAGCCAATGGGACGAAGATCTTTGATGTCTTCTGAAGCATCTCTTTTTGGGACCAAGCAAATGGAGGAATGAGTGGTGCATTTGGGAAGGCTGCCTGTCTCATGGAACTCATGAAAGGCGTTCAAAATATCAGTTCTAACCACTCTCCAGCATTTCTTAAATTCAAAAGTGAAACCGTCTGGACCTGGGGCTATGGAATCGTCACTCGAAGAAAGACACTCCCAAATCTCCTCTTCAGAAAAAGGAGCTTCGAGATAGGCAGCTTCAGCGAGGCTTAAACATTTGGTTGTATGGGCACGAGGGAAAGGACGAATCTGAATCTCTTCCTGAAATAAGTTTGAATAGTAATCAACAACCCCTTGGCCAATATCGTCAACACCTTCAACCATAGTCCCATTAATATTAATACGCCAAATAAAATTCTCTTTCCTTCGGAAGTTTGCCATTTTATGAAAGAAACCAGAATTTTGATCACCAAGATTTAACCAAATCTCCCTGGACTTCTGTCTCCAACAAATTTCTTGCAAGAACAAAGCCCTTTCAAGTTCCAACTTCTTCTCGACCAAAGCAGTAACTTCCTGGTCCGATAGAGGATGAGACTCTTTAATAAGACTTAACTCCTTAATATCGCTGAGCAGGTTGTCGACTCTTATGTGAATATTACCAAAGACCTCCTTATTCCAAATCTTGATATTCTGCTTTAAGTCTTTAAGTCTTTTAGCGCCTGAAAATAGCCCCAAAACCTTGAACGGGATTAGAATACCAAGAATTCAGCCCGGTAAAAAAACGAACATCTTCCAACCACATGTTTTCAAATCTCCATGGACGCTTGATCTTCCTATTGTCACCCCATAGTAAAAGAAGAGGAGGGTGATCAGACTCCACCCTTTCCAAGCCAATCAATCTACAATTCGAGTAGAGAGATTCAAAGTATGGATAAATCAAAACTCTATCAATCCTGGATTGGGAATTGCTGTTAGCCCCTAAACTCCAAGTAAAATGACATCCACTAATGGGGATATCCATGAGGTCATTGTCCTCAATGAAGCTGTTGAAAGAGTTCATCAAGTCCAAGCTTCTTCTTCCCCCTTGATAATCATCATGAGATCTGACTAAGTTAAAATCCCCGGCAATACAGTTTGGAGATTGACGACTTTGGTAGTAGTTATGTAGATCATTCAGAAAAGCCAACTTATCCTTTCTATCTCGGGGACCACAAAAAAGTGATGAAACTCCAAGATTTCGAAGATAATAAATCAAGGAATTCAACCTCGAGAAAGAAATTCCCAATGTTATAAGACAATTTCTGAAAACGGCTTTTATCCCAACAAATAAGAATCCCGCCAGAGCTTCCAACAGAGTCTTTAGCAACCCATTCCATGTGTCTTCTGCCACTAATGCTACCCACAAGAGAATCAGAGCAAGAATGCCATTTGGTTTCCACAAGAGCAATAATATGAGGCCTCCGCCCACCGATTAAATGTTTAATTCGGCTTCTCTTGTCCGAATCGCATATGCCTCTAACATTCCAGATGTAAACAAAAGTGTTCATTTGGGAAAAGGGAGGGAAGAAACCACACCAGTAACCTTTTACATCTTCTTGGCCCTGATGGGGGGAGGAGACACAGGGCCCAGACGCTTTCTTTCCATCTCGAGTTTTGAACGAGCACTTTTAATTTTCTTCTTGTGCATTGAGACTGCGGCAGTAGTGATAATCTCTTTCATTCTGCCCTGACCTTCCTCATGTTCCAAACCAAATAAATTACTCAAATCCACAGAGCAACTGACCAAAGACGAAGAGTCGAAAGGGTATTGATCGAGGTCCCATAACCTTTGCTCCACATCGGTAGTGCATGAGGGTGAAGGAAGATCGGGGGTGTCCGAAGAGAAGGGGGAGGGAAGGGTTTGGGTCACTGGAAGGAATAGCAGGGTTTGGGTCTCAGGAACAAAAGATGAGAGGGATGTAGGGGAAGAAGAAGGCCAATCCGGGGAAGGGAGCATTAGTATGGGAGGGGAGGATGGGGAGGTTTGGGTGGATTGGGATGGCGAAAGGTCTTCAAGGTCGCAGATAAGAGGCTTGGGGGGAAGTGGAAGGGAAGTGATTGGAGGAGAGGGGTTGGGACAGGGGAACATAAATCTTGGACAAATTTGGGCAAGATAGGCTGATCAAGATCTGATTGTTGCTTAGGATATTCAGGGATAATCGAAGAGAGAGGGGAGGTTCAGGGGAAAGGCACCAACTGGTTAAAAGCTCGATAAAATTCAAAGGTGAGACAGGGCTTCTCTCGAGATCAAAGAGAGGCTGGGTTGATGGAAAGGTCGGGAAGCTAAGGCTTAAGTCCAAAGATGGACGGTTTTGGCCCATCCAGATTGGGCCTGCTTTTCGAATCCACATCTTAACCGAGAGAGAAGAATTGTTGGCCACTGCTACGCCCCGATTTTTCTAAGCTCTCGAATCTTCATTCTGAACGTTATTGCATGGATAGTTGCGCACTGTACTTGTCGAGGGGAGATGGTTCACCTTCTCCCTTTGAAAATTGCCAACTTTCTGATGACGAAAAGAGCCGTCACTGGCCGCCGCCGGGGGAACAAGGATCAAGGCTGTGAAATCTATCCAATCCAAACTGGAGAGGGACAGATTCGGGGACCTTCCTGGTCTTTTTGATTCTGATTCTAACGAAATCAAGGCTCCAGGAGTTCCAGTCTATCTCCACAAAGGTACCGCAAATGTTCCCAATGGTCACCATCATATCTATGCTTTTGAGAGTCAAGGGAATTCCGAAAAAAATAATCCAAACATCATCATAATTCTGAACCAGACTATTCTCCGACCAGGGAAGATCTTGACAGATAAATCTTTGCAAGTCATCATATTGAGCTTCCTAATCTGAATGGCGTCCATAACACTCGGGCAAAGTAACAGCCAATTTCCATTAGCAGAATCATGGAAACCAAATTTATCATCTATAGCCCAAGCTCTGGTTGCCCACGCTCTGAATTCTGGTACGTCGGAATTCGTAAAAGCCGACCCATGAGAACAAAAGTTGATAACCAAGCTCCTGCCGAGCAGCTCTTTTCTCTACGAGACAACTTCATACCAATATCGATGAATCTATCGGAGTCGCTACCAATGATTTTGCAGCTTCCAACACCATAGAAACCCCCACCTTTCACTGCTTCCTCGTAAGTAACTCTTGGAAAGGTTGTCGATGGAAGTCTTGGAGCCAGAGGAAGCCGAAACGTTGCGATAAGATGAGATGATATAGGATCTACAGAGGATCAAAAGCGGTTCTGAAGCTCGGACTTGTAGAAAGATTGCAGCAGATTAATCAAACCCGCCCAGCCATTTTTGGGGCCGGAGGAAGGAATCGACACTTTGAAAGATCCTCCGGTCGTCACCTGCTCAGAGATTTGAAGAAAAAATCCATGTCAGTTGCAAAGCTTCCCGACATGAATAACACGGCCCAGGAATCTCTTAGTGCAAGAAGGAGGAAAGGACCAGTGTTTCATGGCTGCTGTTTGAAGGACTCCTTGGAGCCAGGAGATGTGCACTTCGTTCAAAAGAACAAACCATCTTCTTTCAGTATCATCAAATTGTAACTTGTACCAAACCAAATTGCCCGATGACTGACGCTTGAGTGAAACCTGTGACTGTCCTGCTGCCTCACCCCCTCTGAATTTCTCTCTCTACCCCTATTCTCTCTCATCTCTCCCTCTTTCATCCCTTTTCGCACCTATAATTAATCAAGTTCGCATAGTTATTGACCATGAAATTATGGAGGTGAACTGCTCCCACAACAAACTTTCCTAAAGCTCGAGTAAAGTGGTGAAATTTAGAAATCCTTTACTATGAGAGAAACTGCCCTAAATATAAGCAATACCCGTGAATAGACATAAACATTGATATGACCTATCACTTAAACATTAATAATTTTAATAATAGAACCCAAAAGAGTGAGAGAGTGGGGAGGGGCTAGGGTGCTAATACTTTTTTGATAGTATGGTGCTAGCACTAGCTCCATCCAATCAGAACATTTCGTTTGGATGACTTTTCCATTTAAATTAGTTGAACACAATTAATGAGGGGGAAAGGAAGGAAGAGCACACATGGTATAATGAAAAATTAGAGAAGGGAAGGAAAGAAGGAATGGGGGCCACGAAACATGCTACAACCTACTCCGGGCTCCAAGCATGCCACAACCTCACAGCATTCTACAACTTCTCAAATCATGCCACAAACTCAAAGCATGCCACAACCTTCTCAATATGCCACAAGTCCATAAAGCAAGCCATAAGTTTATAAATCATGCCACAAGTAGTGGACCTGTTTGTGAATTTTAAAAAAAATTGGTACCAAAATATAAGGGGGAAAATTTCACATGAATATATTAATATGATGCTAACATATAAGATAATGTTAGCACACTATTCAGTATTCACTACAAGTGCATTGCTGCCGGAAAACTATTCATACTTTGTGTTTTATCACTTTTATTATTGAGACAAAAAGAGAGTTTTCCTACCTAACCAAATGACACCGCATACTAATAGGCAATAGATAAATCAATTCTATGTCCGAAAAAGGTGATGAGGCCTACTAAAGAGGAAAAAAACCCAGTATACACTAGTAATTAAAAAAAATTCCCAAAATACGCTAGTTATAAATATTTTTTTTTCCAAATTACACATGTTTGACATTCACCGCCTTTGTCTAAGGCAGTGAATGCAATCCCCGCCGAGAAGAAAGGTGGTGAAAGATTCACCGCGTTTAACAAAAACGGTGAAACTTCACCGTGTTTGTTTACAGTGGTCAAGAAATCACCGCCTTAGTGCAAAGCGAGGAATGCCTTCACCGGGTTAGATTAAGGCGGGGAAACAGTTCACCTCGCTAGGTTACGACGGTGATAATTTTCCACGTTTCTCAGCCCTGGTAGGTGGAAATTAGGTCACAACCACCTAAAGTTCACCGCCTTAGGGCAACGCGGTGATCACCTTCACCGTTGTCAACAAAGGCGGTGAATGCTCCATGGTTTTCATATAAATACCCCTCCCACGAGCAGTTGGAAAAACACTCTCCTCCTCCCTCCTATGTCAAATTTAAGCAAAAAATACCAGCAATATACCTACATAAGCAATTTTTCGATATGATTTAATTTTGTATTGATATTATATAATGAGGTTTTAGTAGTTATATGTATGTAATGAATTACTGTTTGTAGCAAATATTTTATGTTAGTTATGAATTTATGTTGCTGTTAGTTTGTTGAATTTATGTTATGTTAGTTATGAGATGGAGTAATATTATTTTCGTAGTCGTAAAATATGGTTTTGGTTAATTTTATTGGACTTAAGCTAATAATTACTTATTGTAAATTGCATATATGGGTAAATTCAAGAAGTTTCGGCTTATTATTTAGTGGAATGGCTGGGTGACAAACTCTAACATTGGGATTGATTATAAAGACGGTGAATCCACTATGTTGAAAATTGAGTCGCTGGCAGGGTTGTGTATCAAGAAGTTGTCATAAACGATGTTGGCGCTGTTACCATTATGTTACAGTTCCTCAACGATAACGGGATGATGTTTGCAGAGGTGTATGTTGAGATCGAGGTGGTCGGTGTAGCTCATTCTCACCAGTATTCTTATGATGATGGTTTTGCAGGAGGGTACGGATGGTAGTTCAAGCAACTACGAGGGAGGTGGTTATACAGGAGGGTACAAATTGGGTGGTAGTTCAAGCAACTATAAAGAAGGTAGTTCTGCAAGAGGTGTGGCATGGGAAGAATACCCACAATATGCTCAGCCTGCCCCATTTGTTGAGCCCGACGACATTCAATGGCCTGATTAGGGGCCAGAGTGGGGATGACATTGAGAACACCCTTCGATCTGGGCGTACTTCGCATGAGCGAGAAAACGATGCTGGTGATGCAGGTCAAGATGATCATCCTGGGCCGAGCTATTCATTCTCCTACACTGACAAGGAAAGTGAAGAAGATTTGAGATCAGTCATTCAGGAAGAAGATACGGACGAGATCGATGAAGACTAGGTGGCGTTCCGTGAGGCACTAACGCCATACTACACACATGTTCCATCTAAATATTTATATAGTGAGAATGATGCCCCCGACTTTGTCCCTATGCCAGTGTATAATCTGACGGCCAATTTGGAGGTGGGTATGGCGTTCACAACGAAATACGATGTTCATGATGCTTTTAGCGAAGATGCCATACGGCGCAATTTCGAGTGGAAGGTGAATATTCTGACGGTAAACAACTACATGTCATATGCAAGATTGTTGGAGAGGGTTGTATGTGGCAACTGCGGGCTGCAAATATGAAGAGAAAGGGAGCCTGGGTGATTCGAAAAGCTGAGAACAACCATACCTGCTCCTCGTACATACTTTTCAGGATCACTGCCAACTTAAAGCAAAGAAAGTGGGGAGAACTATTAAGCACTTGATCGAGGCACAACCAGATATCAAGGTCAAAGCTATCATTGCCGAGGTGAAGGATCGACATTTCTACACGATCAGGTAGAAAAAGGCATGGCATGGAAAGCAGAAGGCCATGGCTGAGGTATATGGTGATTGGGACGACTCGTATGCTTTACTCCCTAGACTAATGGCCACAATGGAGGAGTCCAACCCTATGACTGTTTTCGTGCCATGTTACAACAATGTATACACTGAGGATCAAGTTCGAGTACATAATGAGTTGATGTTTCACCGGCTATTTTGGCCATTTAAACCATGAATTGACGGGTTTGCATTCTGCATTCCAGTTATCCAGGTATATTACTGACTAATTACTATTGTACAAGTTAATTTATTTATCTTGATGAGTAAATTTTACACTAATTAAATCCTAAATTTTAATTAGGTTGATGGAACTTTCCTCACTGGGAACTTTCCCCTCTTGCATTTGCATTAGTGGAAGGGGAGAGCAAATTAAGTTGGGCATGGTTCTTTAACCAACTACACAACCACATGACACAGCAACAGGGTATTACGATTATATCTGATCGACATTCGGGGATTAGGAACTCCGTGGGTGGTTTTCCCGACGAATGGGGAGGGATGGACATGGCACTGGTGCATTCGACACTTTCTTGCTAATTTCCCCCCACAAATTCGGGAAGAAGAAAGACATAAGAGATCAATTGTGTGCAGCAGGAATACATTAAATTTAAATCTAGCTAAGCATGGAATAAATTTTAAAGTAAATTACGCTAACCATTGAATAAATATAAATTAAATGTTCTACAAGTATGGAATAAACTTACTTGACACCCTAGGGGAATTTGGCACATTTCATAGCTCCTCATCTTGACTCCATAATGGACGCGGGTCTTGAGGTGCGAACATTGGAAGATGCTCCCATGCCAGAGCTGGAGGATGAACATCGCACATACAGCTTGTTCCACTTCCACCTTCGAGAAAGTAAACAGCTCCCTATATACGCTAGCTAACACGGTCGACCTCCAACTCTTTTCCCCGATCGCGTCCCAGTCACGGTGAGAAATGGCAACCATATCCCTTGAATCCACCTGTTTGCCTTGTTGGAGAACATAAATCCACCGACCAAACCAATGAGGTAGATGTGTGCATAGCGCTCCACTTGATCTTCCGGAGTGTCTGGGCCTATTTGAACCTCATTTTGGATGTGAGCAACGAGCCACGGGATACACACTTGTCCCGCATTCAATGGTGGATGCCCCCGTCCTTGAACTGGTGTGGTGGTCGGCATGTCAAAGCCCAAACGATCAAGAATGAGAGGCCCCCAGCCTGCATCGGGTTTGGTTTAGCTCCCAATGATGGCATCTCCAGTTATCGGCATCCTGGTGAGGATCGCAACGTCTTTGAGGGTGATCGTCATTTCCCCCTCCGGAAGGTGGACCGTATGGGTTTCAGGGCGCCATCGCTCTGCCATTGCCATAAGCAGATCGTTGTTGATTTCAATCTGCATGAAATGCCTCAACATACCCAACCCAGTCCTCTCTATATACGGCGACAAGCATCATGCCAAGCGGGCAAGTTAGTGGTCCCTCTATGAATGACGGGAATAAGTGATTCCTAAAAAAAAATAGAAAAAACATTGATTTGTTAGTCAAAGGATAACAAAATAAAACCTTATAAAATAATGAAATAAAATAAATTGTTTATATGGTGGGCAGTGTTTACCGGATTGTTGTCCCAAATTGCACGGGAGCGATGTGCTTCTTACTTGAATAAATAATTCGTATCTCGTAGTCCATAATGGATATACAATCAAGGATCGTATATCTCGACAACTATCTATAAAAAAGTAATGAAATAAGATTGTGTTGATTAAAAAAATCACAAAATCATATTGTTTTGATTAAAAAAAAAATCACAAAATGAAAACCAAGTACCTACCCGAAGAGCCTCTTCGTCCATTTATTGGCGGATGCCGGACAGAGGTTCGTCGGGTTGTCGAGGGATGGCTTTATGTATAACACTAGTAAATCTTTCTGATGTGGAAGATCGAACTTAGCCGCAACCACAGAGCATACTTAGAACGAAACTAGAGTAGAGGAATCGAGGGATAAAGAATTGTTGTATGGTGGTGTGATTTGGAAGAGAGGAGAAGGGTTTATTTATAGAAGGAAGAGGACTGCTGAAAATATGAATGCAGAGCCATCACCGCGTTTGTCAGCGGCAGTAAAGGCCCCGCCTTTTTCAAAAGAGGTGAAAAGCGCTGATAGCTGACGTGGGCGGCTGTGAGGCATCAGATCTGGAAGGAAAACCAGAATTCGCGCCTCACTGCATCCAACGATAGTGGTGAAGCATCTGCGCGACGCGGATCGCTGACATGGACAACAGGGAGTTCAGCGTCTTTCTTTGGAGCGGTGAATGCGCCGCGCTCGTCCACGTCAGCGACCCGCGTTGCATTCCCCGTGGTCGTCCGATGCGGGGAACCAATCACCGCTTTTAATTAAAAAGGTGAAGGATTCACTGTTTTACTTAGCGGCGGTGATTGCTTCACCGTTTTAGTTAAACGCGGTGAATCTTTCACCGCCTTTCTTCTCGGCGGGGATTGCATTCACTGCATTAGACAAAGGCGGTGAATATCAAACATGTGTACTTAGGGAATTTTTTTATAACTTACGTATTTTGAGAATTTTTTTTTAATTACTAGTGTATATTGGGATTTTTTCCTACTAAAAACCATAGTTATGTCTGTTGCGTACCTCGATGTGTCTTGCTAGCTATGATAATATGATCTCTTTATAAAAGACATCTCTAGGACTTCTCCCTCAAAGCACCCTACAACAAGTTCAAAACCAAATCAACCCACATGCACAATGATTTAGGAGGGTTAGAGAATGTTATAAGATTCATAATGAATCTTTTCTCAACAAATCAAGTAATTGCGACCAACTGGTTTATTATATATATGGTATCAATCTATTTGGTTCCGCTAAATAATAGTTGTGTGTTCCAATCTCCATGAACCTTAATATTAAGTGTTGATAGCAGTAAGTATGGTGGGCATGTACAAAAATCTAGCATTGAATTGATTTTCGTTTGATGGAGCAGTTCGGCTTCCCTGCCTTGATGCGCCAATTTCATAAGCAATGTGAGGAATGGGAACGGGTGCCGCAGATAGGATAGATCCGGGTCTGCACCCTATTCTCCATCCTCAAGGGATGCCGAGGGGTTCCTCGCTGGTGTGTATGTGGGATGGGGCTACGAGAGCTGGGTCCCACACTGCTGGCGGATTGTTGCTTCTTGACCCTCATAGGGAGGTCCTCTGAGCTCAAGGGGTCTAGTTTCGGTCTATTGATGATCCTTTAGTGGTGGAAGCGCTCGTCCTCTGGAAGCGATCTCGTGGTGTGTGGCCAATGGATTCCAGGATGTGAGATTTGAAGGCGATGCCAAGATCATCATCGATAAAATCAATCAAGCTGAGACTAGAGATAGTAGGATTGGGATGATCTTGGAGGAAATCTGGCAATGTATGGAGAATCAATCTGGGTTTAGTTTGCGATTTGTAGGACGGAGGAACAATAGGGTAGCACATGCGGTGGCTAGATAGGCCAATTCTTTGTACCCGTCTACGTGGCGTTCTTTTAATTTTCAGGTCTGGCTGTTCTCCAGGATGTAACTTAGCCTATCTTGAATCAATATATGATAATCTTTTGTAAAAAAAAAAAAAAACAGCACCAGTTGTTGGAACCAACTAGTTTATAACAAAAGAGTGCTCACTCCTAAATACACTTCAAACAGAGAATAAACAAGCTAATGCCCCCACAAACAAGCTAATTAAGATCCATAAGCTAATTTCTTGATCAGTCATCACAAACAACAAATAAACGGCAAACTGTTTTTTAACATTTTGCGACGAACTAAATTGTCATGGAAAAAATTCGTCGTGAAACCCTAGATCCCATGTTCCGCTGAATCTGAATGTTGACACAAAGCGCCACAAAAAAAAAAAAAAAATTTCGCAAAGCGATGAGATTCTTGTCGACGCAATAAAATTCGTCACAAAAATTGAAGTTTCTTGTAGTGTTGGACCTGACACAACATTCATAGATCAAGTGTATCCGCAATTGTATCGAGTATATGCCTGAATTTCGTCTCGTAATAATACTCATCAGCTCGCTGTGAGCTTGCAACCAGGAATACCTTTGAAATAAGGTTGTCGGTTCTAGCAAGATCCCGAATGATCAAGGCGAAGCAATGGCTAATCTGAGCTGTGATTTGATACGATAGTACGGCTGATGGAGGTAGTAGAAGAAGAGAGAGTGCAATAAAGTAGCAGTGGATTGAGAGCTGAAGCATGTACAAAAAGCCTCTCGATTAAACGATGTGACCAAACATCTCAGCTCCCCTAAAACCAAATGGCAGCGTTTATCGCTGCATTCTGCGAAAACTCATAATCGTCGCTGAACCTGCTCGGCTGGTGGGAAGCTCTACTCGACGCGTTGGTTTGGGCTATTGGGGTTAGTATGTTATTAGTTTATGGGTAGTTGTCGGGATATGTAGTTACTAGTTTATACTACTTGTTAGTACATGTAATAGCATGGGGCTAGTAGTTATTGTGGTAGAGACCACGAATGAGTTCTCATAGGGGTGGCCAAGCTCTCTAGGTTAGGTGAGTAGGGTTCGGGGTTAGCTAGGGTTACGTATTAGGTTTTTCTCACTTATATATTTGTATCTACGCATTAGTTAGGGAGTCTAATCAATAAACAAAACAGGTTTTCGACCCTTGAGAAATTTTACAATGCTATATAGTATTGGTGCTATAGGGTTTTGTCTTTATGGTACAACTTAAAATTGTACATTTACGTTATGGTACAACTTCAGATTGTACCTATACTTTGTGTACAAATTCTTTTATGGTACAACTTGAACTTGTACCTTTATGTGATGGTACAACTTCAAGTTGTAAAGTTGTACCATAACATAATGGTACAAATTGCTTTATGGTACAACCTAAACTTATACATTTAATGTTATGGTACAACTTTAAGTTGTACATTAAAGCACCAATACTATATAGCATAGTAGAAGTACTCTTCGACCCTTATGTTGTGCTCTCGCTTGTGAGTTAAAAGCAAACTCTGGAACCGTGAGTTACGGCTCATCAGAACCTAGCATTTTACGGCGATTTTAAACATTGTTGCATATGCGCGACGAAAGCATTCATTGCAATAGCTGTCAAACATTGTGCAACCCTATCTCAACGGCCCGCTGAAACTTATGACATTGGTGATGTTAATTGCTGTTATTGCCATGGTCCATAATCAATTATAATTGATTGAACCCACAGTCACCTCACACCTGCAACGTCTGCCCACATTTGAAGGAGGTAGCTCCAACCATCCAACGTGCTCATCTATTAGCCTTTCGTTGCAAAAGATGACTAGGTCAGACAACAATCTATATCAGTTGATTCAATTCCCCAACTAATAATCGCATTGATTCTTCACGAAGACAAAATGTGAAACTACTGTACCACCCCGAGCGACAGTGTCAAGAGGTAGCAATTCCAGCCCAGAAACGACAACATGTTTTGTTGGTGACGTTCTCCGGAACAACTAACACGAAGGGGATCAAAGTGTCCGAAAAGAAGAAAAACTATGAGTGTCAAGAGCGAAACAAATCAAGCGAAGAAGTCTCAAGAAATTTCTAAACATGAATGTGATGACGAAGAGGAAGAATGTTGAATTGGTGAATGTACATGCTAGATTTTATGAAAATAATAGATAACAAAAATAAACGTGGAAGCTAGGGGTGGACACTAAATGGTGAATGTACATACTGAATTGCAGTGGATGGGCGATTCGTGTGGGGTAATTGTGGATTGATAATTTTTGTACTCTCATTTATTCAGGTGGGTGATAGGTGGGTTGAGAGTCATCCGAATTTTCATATGACAAAGAGTTTTTCTTGTTTATACTATCAAATAATCATTATATTTATCAGCGGTTAGCAAGTAACTAAATCTTTCATAAGTACTTATTTGGTGATTTGATACTTTGACTTTCATATTTGTATTATTTTAATACTTAATTTACATTTCAATGTATATTATAAACAAAGGATAACTTTAAAATTGCAACCCATATATCACTTGGTTGAATATTGTATATAAAATTAGAGTATTAAATAGGTCGAAACAATGTCAAAATTTTAAATTAGTATTTAATTTTAGAATTAATTATGAAGAAATCATATCCTTATTAAGAGTATAGGAGACTGATTTGTTTAACATTTTAGTCTGGTTAACTGCTAAGCCTTCAACATGTTCCTAATCTGGCATGATTTGATCCAATGATCATTGTATGAGATTGAGCTTAATTATTGGTTCATTTCATCATTTTTTGACATGTTAATGAATTTCTAGGGCAATGACATATGTCTACGTCTAAACACAATACAATATATAAGACTGGAATGAGAAAAATATCATCCCATTTCAAATTCTTACAACGAGAGCGAAAGTATGAATAATATATTTGCCTTCACAATTGTTAAACTTATTTATTTGTAGAAAATAAACAAGCATTGAAATTTGAAACAATGTATCTTCCAAAAAAGACAAGAATCATAAGCCTAATTGTCAACCCAAGTTTGACATGGTTGGGGTGATCAATTTTGCCCAAACCAGAGTATTTGTTAGGATGTTGGAGGCCCAGTTGGTTATCAACCCAAATTTGGTCAAACTAAGAAATCAGTTGAATTAGGAAATCGAGTTGATTCAACTAACTCATCTAAGCACTGAGTTACTTCAAGCGTACATCATTTTCAACAAATTTAATCACTAGCTCTATTGACATGTCGTCCTTTTCCTTATCAAACACCCATGCAGCAACATACATCAACCACCCGTGTTCGGTTATCCCATAATATCTTTTCCTCTTTAACCGACATTTTCGATCCCATTTGCCGATGTCGGTTCGTCGAAATCTCGGTTCAACCATGATTGACGATTTTTTCAATAGAAATTTTAACAGAAGGGCATGTTTGATAATTTTTTCAAAGTACAGGAGCATGTTTGATGTAAAAAATAATAAAAGAGCATGTTTGATAAAACGTCATAGTAAAGGGGCATATTATACCTATAATCTCTTTAAATTAATACCTTCGGCTACTATCTATATATACCACAAGAGTTGCGCAGGCAGCAAGTACACCCATTTAATTGTGTCTCCAATAATTTGATCATCCGATGGAGAGCCAGCAGCAACTTCCGACGGAGTTATTCTGGGGTCGCCACGAGATTTGCCAGATAGAAGGATTCTGGTACCTGACGCTCAATATGGATGTCGCGGCCGCCTTCCGGTCAGAATTCCAGCCGAGGAAGGACGACATTCTCTTGGCATCTTTCATGAAAACAGGAACAACGTGGCTCAAAGCTCTCTGCTACAACATCCTCGACGAACAAGAAGACGACATTCTGGCGAGCCAGAACCCCCACGATGCGGTTCCCACGCTGGAGATTGCTTTCTTCCGAGACCAAGTCCAACAGCTGCTTCTCAATCCCCCTCCGCCGGCGGGTCGCAGCCGATTGCTCCACACTCATTTCCCCTACAGTTACTTGCCGGAGAAGGTGAGGAGCTCGGGATGCAAGCTCGTGTACGTGTCCCGAAACCCTAAGGACACGCTGGTGTCGATGTGGCATTTCTTCAACAAGAACCTGAAAGCCGACCCGGCTAGGCCGTTCACGATGGAGAGCGCGGTGGAGACCTTCTGCAGCGGGGCTATGCCCAAGGGGCCCTTTTACGAGCACGTGGTTGGGTACTGGGAAGAGAGCAGGAAGCGGCCCGACCAGGTGTTGTTTCTCAAGTACGAGGACCTGTGCAGAAACCCAGAGGAGCAGGTGAGGAAGCTGGCTTTGTTTCTTGGCCGGAAAACGAGTGTGGACGTGGAGAAGGTACTGTGGCGGAGCAGTTTGTGTTAGCGGTTTTGAGCTAGTTTTGGGCCTATACACTTTTGTTTGGCCCATTGTACATGAACATGCACGTAGCAGTAGTAACCAAACCCTAGCAGAGGCATAAGTGAGCTAGGGTTGAGTGTAATATATATATGTACAGCCGTGGAGTATGAGACTCAAGAAAAACCTAATACAAGTTTAGCTCGGAGAGTTCTAGCTCTCCCGTGGACTAGTCCCGATATCGGGGAAACCACGTAAACTGTGCGTCTCGTTCTTATTCTTTGTTTTCGTATTAAGAGAGGTTGATACTAGCTAACATGGTATCAGAGCTATCGTCTATGGAATCTGATAGGGTTTCGGTTCGATTGAACTCCAAGAACTATGCACTATGGGAGTTCCAGTTTCGGATTTTTATCGAAGGCAAGGGCCTTCTTCAGTTCCTGGATGGCACGTCTGAGAGGCCACAAGTTCCACCGTCGTCAGGGGAAGAACTCGCACGGTGGGTTCAAACTGATGCTCGGGTGAAGTCTCTGCTTCTGAGTACGATCGATCCAGTCATAAGTCTGGGTCTTCGCATGTTTCGTTCGGCGCGGGAGATTTGGGTTCATCTCGGCCAGACCTATACCACTTCGGATCCAGCTCGGCAGTTTGAGCTTACGTTTGCGTTAGCTCGGCTTGAGCAAGGAGATAAGGATGTCACGTCCTATTACAATGATGCTCAATTATTATGGACGGAGCAAGATTTATTAACGGCTGCTTTGTGCTCCGCTTCGGCGTCGGTAGAGGTGATTCAAGATCGCCAACGCACGAGGTTGATGCAGTTTCTCGGCCGCCTGAGGCCTGAATTCGAGTCGGTACGTGCCTCGCCTGGGTTCAGCTCGCCGGCCTCACCTTCGCCCAGCTCGTCTTCGGCCACCAATGCGTCGTCCGCCCACAGTCCGCCCAGCACTGCGTCGTCCGCCCCCAGCCAACCCAGCAGTGCTTCGTCCGACCACTCTCCGTCGACCTCACCTCCTGTGCTCCGCAGGTCCCTTCGGACAACTAGAGGGCAGCTTCCTATTCGGTACCACGATTTTGTTTCCTATCATGTGGAGGCCTTCACTATACCCACCTCGTTTAAACAGGCCGTGCTTGATCCGAATTGGAACAAAGCCATGCAGACTGAATTCGATGCCCTTCATGCCACGGGTACATGGGAGGTGGTTGATCGTCCTCCTGAGCCAGTCACCATTCTTGGAAATCGGTGGGTCTATGCTGTCAAGGTACGTGCTGATGGTACTCTTGAGCGGTTTCGTGCTCGGCTTGTTGTTCAGGGTTTTGGGCAGGAATATGGCCTTGATTACGATGAGACGTTTGCTCCGGTTGCAAAGATGCAAACGGTTCGAACTCTGCTTGCGGTTGCTGCCATTCGGGGATGGCCCTTGTTTCAGCTCGATGTTAAAAACGCGTTTTTGCACGGTGATCTCAAGGAAGTGGTGTATATGCGCCGCCCACCCGGTTATACAGTTGGGAGAGAAGATCAGGTGTGTAGGTTACGTCGCTCCCTCTATGGTCTCAAACAAGCACCCCGGGCTTGGTTTGAGAAATTCCAGGCCACGGTTTTGGCTCTTGGGTTTCGACAGAGTGACAATGATCCATCATTATTTCTTCGGTCGTCGTCGGAGGGTCTTATTGCTTTACTCATATATGTCGATGATATGATCATCACTGGGGATGATGCGGCTGGTATTTTGAAGCTCAAAGCAGGGTTACACGCCTCCTTTACATTGAAAGAGTTGGGTTCCCTGTCTTATTTCCTCGGGTTAGAAATTACTCGGTCACAGAAGGGCATTCTTCTCAGTCAAAGGAAGTATATTGGGGATTTACTGTCGTCAGCTCAGTTTGAAGACTGTATTCCCGTTACTACACCCATGGAGGTTAATTTGCATCTCAGTCGTGACTCGGGGGTTCCTCTTGTAAATCCATCTCAGTATAGGCATCTTGTCGGCAGCTTGATTTACCTTACTCATACTAGGCCAGACATTTCCTTTGCTGTCCATGTGGTCAGTCAGTTCATGTCTGATCCCCGCGTTGATCATCTTTCCGCTGTTCACAGGATTCTCCGGTATTTACAGGGTACCCGAGAGGTTGGACTTCTTCTCCCTGCTACTGGTGATTTGCGTTTACAGGCCTATTCAGACTCCGATTATGCTGGTTGTGTTGATACTCGACGCTCGACTACAGGTTGGTGTGTTCAGTTTGGGGATGCTTTTGTTAATTGGCGTTGTCGGAAGCAGGATAAGGTCTCCAAGTCTTCGACTGAAGCTGAATATCGGGCTATGTCTGATGTTGCCTCGGAGTTGGTTTGGATGCAACGTCTTCTCTTGGACTTTGGTGTTTCTTGCCCGTCGCCGATCACTCTTCATGTTGACAACACCAGCGCGATTCAAATCGCCGTCAATCCAGTTCTCCATGATCGAACGAAACATATTGAAATTCATGTTCACTATGTTCGTGATCTAGTCCATGAAGAGTTTCTTGTGGTTCGTCATGTTACTTCTGCTGACCAGCTGGCGGACTTGTTCACGAAGCCTTTCCATCGCTCTCGTCATATGTTTTTATCGGACAAATTGATGCTTCGGGACCAGCATCAATTTGGGGGAGGCTGTTAGCGGTTTTGAGCTAGTTTTGGGCCTATACACTTTTGTTTGGCCCATTGTACATGAACATGCACGTAGCAGTAGTAACCAAACCCTAGCAGAGGCATAAGTGAGCTAGGGTTGAGTGTAATATATATATGTACAGCCGTGGAGTATGAGACTCAAGAAAAACCTAATACAAGTTTAGCTCGGAGAGTTCTAGCTCTCCCGTGGACTAGTCCCGATATCGGGGAAACCACGTAAACTGTGCGTCTCGTTCTTATTCTTTGTTTTCGTATTAAGAGAGGTTGATACTAGCTAACAGTTTGAACAGGTTGAAGGAGCTGGAGGTTAACAGGAAAGGAGTCCGTACCCCATATATTCCCAATTCTATCTTTTTCAGGACAGGAACTGTTGGGGATTGGAAGAATTACTTGACTTCCGACATGGCTCGACGTATTGATGACCTCACAGGAGATAAGCTCCAAGGGACTGGACTTTCTTTTGATGACGAGTAGCTTTTTGTGTGCTACGAAAGGGAATACCTTTTGCGACCATTTCCATTATTCCGTTCTGTATCATAAGAAATTTCCGGTTGGACGTTTGTTATGGGAATAAAATCATCAACTAATTTGTCTTAATCCTTCCTGGTTCCTCATGAAGGCTAGTAGGCTATGGATCGCGCGCATGGCATCTTTCAGTTCAGAAAGACCTTCTGGTACGGCCACCCTTAAAAATACTCAGCTCAAAGACTAAACCCAATTTTTCTCCTTCTCTACACTCAATTGCCTCACAGTTACTGGCTAGAGGCGGTGAAGTAGTCACGGTTATACTATTTTCTACGGTTGGATTCGATGCATACAAGCTAGCGGAAGATAAACAAACATGTGTAGAAGCGACAAAATAAATAAAAAAATAGACGGAAAATTATAGAATAAATATAGATGAAAAGAACCTTGGCAAATCGCCAAACAAATCATTGGAGAGGCAAGAAATTGGTGTAGAAACGATGAAATAAATAATAAAATTGAAACAAATATGAGAAAAAACGATAGAAAGAAGAAAAAAAAACTTGGTCCATCACTAGACAAATCATTTGGAAGGGCAAGAAACTGGTGTTGAAATGATGAAATAAAAAAAAATGATAGAAAAATACATCAAAAGGAATTAAACTTAGCCGGTCGCCAAACAAATCATTGGAATGAGAAGAAACATATAGAAACAACAAAATAAAACAAAAAATATTGGGTAAATGATATGAATAAAATTGGAATGAGAAGAAACATGTAGAAACAACAAAATAAAACAAAAATATTGGGTAAATGATATGAATAAAAGGAGGATAAAAAAAAAACAAGGGCTTGATCTAATGGTAATACCACTAGTTTTGAATTTGAAAATCACAAGTTCGTATTTCTTAAGTTATACCCAAACAACAAAAATAAACTATAGCGATATAATAATAAAAAATGGAGAAAACATGACGTAATGAAAAAAAATAGAGGATATTGATAAATAAATAAGTAAAATATTGGAAAACCCAAATGAATTGAAGATATTGGTGTGGAAATGATGAAAACATGTTGAAAGATAAAAAAAGAAAATTGGCCAATCACTTAAGAAAATCATTGAAGGGGAAAACGTATAGAGAAACGACAGATTGAATAAAAAATGAGAGAAAAATAATAAAATAAACAAAAGATATTAAAAAGGGATATGTAAAAATCTTATGATACATCCTTATGGAGACTACTAAACTTCTTAAACCAAATTTGTCATATATAGTTATATACCAATGATCGTCAACAAGCTCAATAAGACCTTCATAGTCAGATCTAAGAATAATGAAACCATCACAAGCCATCCAAAGCTAGATTTTTCTTTCCCAAATCCAATTCCCCCAGTAAATGTGGATTATGGAAATTCTATATCGTAGGTCACGATCAATATTAGTTGAACTCATATTTATCTCAAACTTGTAAATACCGGCCCAAAATTGAATGAGACAACTTTCTAATTCTTTCAACGTGGCTAGTTGTTAAACTCTTATTGAGAGAAATTGACAAGGATAGACCATAATCTATGGTGCTTCTGACCCTAAGCCAACTAGCCAAGAACAACTTCGTCTTGTCAAGCAACGCCTCAAATCCATGACAATGTTTGTTGCCACTCATAAAGCTACAATGTCGCGATTGCCGATTCGAATCGTGATACGGATCTTAGACTCCTGAGTGTGTCACAACTTGCACGTGAACCTTACGCGAAGAAGAGTGGAAGACATTGTGATGAATTGAAGTACAAGGACAATGGTTTCGCTCCTTTACCGCTTTATAGGAATCCCTTCCTTCTTAGCGCGTAGTGGGAAAAGAAAGAGAGAAGAGCGGATTCTCTAGCACCGGTTATTGAATCAATTTGCTAGCTTTAGCGGTTGAGTCTCTCTCCGAAGGTTTAGAATATGTTCGACCGTAGGGAGAAGGTGCGAAGTAGCTCGACCGATAGGGAGAGGAACGAAGGAACGAGCAGAAAACAATAGAATTGAATCACATGAAAAAACATAATCAAAACTAGTGGAGAATATGGGAGTTAGGGATGGCAAATTATCCACCCATGGGTAATTATACCCAATCTCAAGTAGACTCATTGATAATGGGTTGGCTATGGGTGAAGTGCGTATAGATTTGGGAGTTTATAGATGGGTTTGGGTATGGTATAAATATTGCTTCCATAATCTAAATGGGTATGGGTTGGATATGAATATCCATTTACTTGAGGGTGTTTTAACTACACATGCAAAAATTGGGAAAAAATCCCACTGTACACACGTTCTTAAAAAAAATTCCCAAAATACATGAGTTATAAAAAAATTTCCCAAAGTACACATGTTTGAGCATCACCGTTTTAGACAAAAGCGGTGAAGGTCATCACCGCGTTTGACGAACACGGTGAATACTTCATCGTCTTAAACAAAAACGGTGAAGTATTCACCGTTTCAAACTAAAACGGTTAAGTTTTCACCACGTTAATTAACAACGGTGAACACATCACCGTTTTGGTCAAAAACGGTGAACCCATTCATCGTTGTTAAGTAACGCGATGATCATTTCCCACGTTTCCCACCCCTGGTAGGTCAAAATTAGGTCGCAGCTACCACCTATTCATCGTTTGAGACAAACGCGGTGATGGTGTTCACCGTTTTCGACAAAAATGGTGAATAGTAGGCAGATTTTCCTATAAATTGCACACCACCAGCAGTTGTAAAAACATAACCACTCCCCTTTCTTCAAATTTCAGCAGCCAAAATCGAGCATAATACACAGAACAGAAATTTTTCGGTATGTTGAGACTTTTCGTATTATAGTCTAATTATGTTTTTAGTAGTTATAGTATGATTTAATTTTCGTATTATGTTGTTGTTAGTTAGTTGAACTTATGTTCGTTAGTTATAGTATGATTTAATTTTCGTATTATGTTGTTGTTAGTTAGTTGAATTTATTTTCGTTAGTTATGGTATGATTTAATATTTTCATTAGTTAGTTATGGTGAATTCCTCACCATTTTTGATTAAAACGGTGATTTCTTCACCGTTTCAGTTTAAAACGGTGATGCATTCACCGTTTTAGACTAAGACGGTGAAGGCATCACCGTTTTACTTAAAAACGGTGAAATTTTCACCTTGTTTATTAAACGCGGTGATAACCTTCACCGCCTTTGTCTAAAACGGTGATGCTCAAACATGTGTACTTTTGGAAATTTTTTTATAACTTATGTATTTTGGGAATTTTTTTTAATAACTAGTGTACAGTGGGATTTTTTCCCAAAAATTGGACCTATTTTTAAAACTTGAAAAGTTTAGGTACCAAATGTAAGACCAAAAAAATTTAGGTACCAAAACGTAATTTTCCATCGATATTTTGAGGACTTATATGCAAAAAAATTAAATTTAGGTACTAAATATGCATATCTATTAAGTTTTGGTACCAAACTGTAATTTGTATTTGGGCATGGGTACAAACCCAAATCCATTTGATATAAACCCAACTCAACCCAAAGTAAATGGGTATGGGTACAAACCCATCAAACTCTACCCATATCCATCTATTTGGATTTTATACCCAACCCAATTGGATTGGATAGTAAGAAATCAATGGGTATGGGCAAAGTTGCCATCCCTAATGGAAGTTCACCTGGACGACTGAGTAGTGTGGATGCGAGTTCATGGAGGAGTTACGTGAAAGTTACAAAGACCAATAAAGAAAAATCACTGGAGCTAGCAAAGATTGAAAGAGATCACACAAATCATGGACACACCTATCTCGCTTTTTATATTTCTCTGTAACTCTTAATTTCAGAGCTTTCCTTCTATGGGGGATTCTCCATTGGTGCAGGAGTAGTCGTAGTCATAGAGCTCTCAAGAAATTTCCATACGAGTGAACATAATTTAATTTAGGTTTTCCAGACATCATAAACCCACTACAAGAAAACTGAACTCTAGTCACGTGATCTTATTGACGTGAATTTTTCCTATTCTAAAAGTACAGTATTAACCTGGGGAAATTTTATGTAATTAGTTGTATAATTTTAGCCATGGGAATTGATTCATATACTGTTTATTGTTTATTTCCTGTGACTAATGATTAGTTACCGTTTGTACCATCTAGCTCTAGTATGAACAATGATATTTGTTGGTGTGGGGTTTATTCACGATCCGTTCGTCTGATCTCGTCAAGAGGGAAGGAACCTGTGAAAGAGCCGGGGATGCCCCCGGATTGAGCTCGGACGATCAAGTTAGTTTAAGTTTCAGGAGAGAGTTAAGAGAATAAGGTAGAGAGATAAGGTGTAGAGAGATAGTGGAAAGTAGAAAAAAGTGAGGAGAGAGGAGAAGTCCCCTCTTTTGGAGGGCTTCAAGCCCTTATATAACTGTAGCGGGTATCTAGTGTTGCGCACATGGTTCAAAAAGGCACGCTTAACCTTACGCTTAGGCACGTCTAGGCGCAAGGCAATGGCAAAACGCCTCGCCTAGGGGTTTTGAGCCTAATTAGATACTAGAACACGTCGATGGAGTAAGGCGACATAAAAGTCTCTCCTAAGCATTACTAGATGGAGCTAGGAAGTCAATATCAAAGGAGAAAATTAACATCAACTACAAAATCAATTTTCTATATCAATATTTTCAATAGTTTAAGAACTTTGTGAGCTATTGAACTATGATTTTATGAATTCGTGAGCTATGTTCTTAACATTTACTGTTGAGTAAGTTATTAATCATTTCAACTGAAGTGAGAAAATGTTGTAGATTATTATTCCATTCATCATGTTGTGCAAATAGTTATTTTTATTCCAGTGCCTAGGCATGCTTAGTCTACGCCTAAGCGAGCTAGGCGCTAAGCAAAGGGTCAACGCTCGCCTTACGCCTAACGCCTTTTTGAACCTTGGTTGCGCATTACCGATTGTGCGACCTACTACTTAGTCTGTGCATGGAGTATTTCAGTAACACCCCCAACAATTTCCCCCCCCCCCCCCAAAGCTGGTTGTGAGTTTTAACTCATCGCTAGCTTTTTTTTTTTTAAATCTTCATCGATAATTTTGGATGGAGCCCTATGTACCCCAGTTGCCCCCCAGCTGGTGGCGCGTTTGACTGACGCGGTGCCAGCTTTTTGCGTCTTGCCCCCCAGTTGGTGTATTTCATTTAAGAGTGTAGCCTTCGTCCATTGTAGATTCTTCATGGAGCTCTCCTCATCGGGGTTTTTTAACCCTCAGTTTGGAGCTCTCCCATCGGGGGGGTTTTTTTAACCCTCAGTTTGGAGTCTTCAAGGTGATGTTCCCTCTCCTCGTCGGGGTTTTTAACCCTCAGTTTGGAGTCTTCAAGGCAATGTGTCCTCTCCTCGTCGGGGTTTTTAACCCTCAATTTGGAGTCTTCAAGGCAATGTGCCCTCTCCTCGTCGGCGTTTTTAACCCTCTTTGGAGTCTTCAAGGCAATGTGCCCTCTCCGCGTCGGGGTTTTTAACCCTTTGTTTGGAGTCTTCAAGGCAATGTGCCCTCTCCTCGTCGGGGTTTTTAACCCTCAGTTTGGAGCTCTCCTAATTGGGGTTTTTTAACCCTCAGTTTGGAGTCTTGAAGGCACTGTGCCCTTGGTGAGGGCCTGGCATTGACTAGTCGAGGCATGGGCCGTGATTATTAGCTCTCCATTAGCGCCATTAACGCTCACGAAAGTAAAATATTTCAATATTTAACAATGATAGAGGGATAGAGTACTTAGCTTTATGTTGGCGAAGCGGCGCGAAGAATTGTTAAAATAAGAGTGATGCACCTAAGGATCACAAGGCGAGTTGTAGCCTGCTGGTCAGTATGCTTGTCTAGCAGAAGAGTGGCGCATTTTCGAGGATTCGCGGCGGCGATAATATTTTTGACGCGGAGGAATGACACTCTTGTGGTGGGCCAGGTGCGACGCGGGCCGCGAGTAGAGTCAGGCCCGCGTGAAGGATTGGATTCGCCCTTGTGGTGGGCCTGGTGCGACGCGGGCTGGGGGAAGGTCCGGCGCGGGGCCGCGAGTAGAGTCAGACTCCTTCGACCTTATGGTGTGCCAGGTGCGACGCGGGCCGCGACTTGGGCTGGGCGATCCGCTTAGTTAAGCGGATCTGGAAGCTAGCGAGCGAGAAGTGATGCGAGGCGCGAAGTTGGTGGTGTGGGCGGACTTTGAAACAATAGGTGGGTCGGGTCGGATGGGCCGCGAGCTGAGCGGTCGAGCGAAGCTTTGCTTGGGCCGCGAGTTGGATATGTGGCGAGGAAGGCATGAAGTAGGCCGCGAGCTGAGAGGTCGAGCGGAAGTGGGACCCGAGCTGCGGAGCGGGCTAATTTGCACGGGAGCTCGGCGGAGTTCGTCCGCGAGTCAGGGATTGTTCACTTCACCAGTTGGTCGCGGCGGAGTATTTTAAATACAAAATCTGCGCCTCTCTCAGCATAGTGATGTTGCAGCGTGCTGGTTAGAACGCTTGTCTTGTTAAGGAGTGACGTGGGTTCAAATACTGGCGGCGATAAGATTACTTTTGATGGAGCTCAACGCCTGTTGGGCTTGGCGGGACAACAACATTTGAACGAAGCTGGCCATTAGAGTGGAAGTTGGACGCGCTAGAGCCGTCGGGCTATCTTGTCTGTCGCGAGTCAAGCACAGAAGTCGAAGCGGGCTTGTAGAAGAGGATCGCACAGTGGACGCGGACCACCAAAGGTTCGGGTTCCATGGGCCGAAGCTTCTGGTAGGACCATGTGACGCAGTGCTGCTATGGCGCGGGCTAGGGCGGCGGCCCAAAAGAGAGAGCGGGACGGGCGAACTCGGAAGGAGGAGCGATGCGGCTCCAAGCTGGAGCTTGATGAAATGGTCCGCGTTGTAAGGATAGAAGCCATTACAAAAGCTTGATGGGTAAGGAGGGCCCCACATGAAATGGGCATTCTTTCCTCTCTTCTTCTTTTTTCAGCCGCCGAGTTGACGGGCGACCAACTGCGAAGAGAGAACGACTTGGAATTCCTCCGCCTCAATTGAAAAAGTTGCAGCGCGGAACTTGATTGGCGGATCGGTATATCTGGTGAGGTAAGAGTGGAGCGTTTTCCTTAGGAAAAAGGCACGCTGATGAAAATGATTGGTTAGGCGGAAGCTGTCAATGAGAGCAGGATAGGGGCAGAGAGAGCGGAGTGCGCCGAGAAGTTGGAAGCATTCCGGGGAGGAGTTCATTTTCACTGTCTTGTCGCGCGGCCGTTGTTGATGATGGGGTAAGCAGCGGAGAGAGCAGAGCGCGAAAAGAGCTGGAGGAATGAGCGGAGAGGGCGTAGTGCGCGGACGAGCTGGAAGTGTGTCGCTTTATAGGGAGAAGCCAGGTGAAGGATATATTGTTGATGTGATGTGTTGTATTGTGTTTCCCTCACCGATTTTGTTTGGAGTTTGCTAGTGTCGCCGCTCGCAGATGGCAGAGGAATCGATTTCTCAAAGTAGACAGATCTGAAAATTTTCTGTTCTTTTGTATATTCCATCTTTCCTCCTTTTCCCGATTTCTACTATTGCTGCCATTGTTATGATGTTGAGAGTGAAAAGTCTCTCCTTGGTGCTCCTGATCTGGGTTTTTGACTTTCGGATTTAGAGCTTCTTCTTTTGGGGATCGATCGAAGGTGGTGGGTTGTCCGACATTTATGGGAACTTCTTCGTCGGAGGTTGGTGGACTTGCCAGAATATGGGTTTGCTATTCTTCATTTTTACTTTCTTTTTTGTTGAATCTGGGTTCTTCTGAGACACGAAAACATCCTTTGCTCCTCCATTTGAGCTCTACATCATCGATCACAGGTACTCACAGCCAACTTCTCCCCATAAACGAAACTCGGTGCATTTGGAGATCTCATATCTGTATTTTTTTTTCTCGCATCTGCAGTTTGCTGCTGCTGCTTGTCATTATGAAAGAAGAAGAAGGATTTCAATCATTCTGTTTCTTCCCTCAGAGTCGATAGATCTCGAGCTTCGTGTTTCTTCCCCCAAAGGTTGCTCGATCTGGAACTTTTCTTCTTTCTCTTTTCTTTCGAGCTTCAATGATTCTCCGTTTTCACAGATTTCCTCATTTTTGTTGAGACCGAACGAACGAATCACCAAATCTGTCCCACGGTGGGCGCCAATTGTTTGTACCATCTAGCTCCGGTATGAACAATGATATTTGTTGGTGTGGGGTTGACTCACGATCCGTTCGTCTGATCTCGTCGGGAGGGAAGGGACCTGTGAAAGAGCCGGGGATGCCCCCCGGATTAAGCTCCGACAATCAAGTTTGTTTAAGTTTCAGGAGAGAGTTGAGAGAATAAGGTAGAGAGATAAGGTGTAGAGAGATAGTGGAAAGTAGAAAAAAATGAGAGAGGAGAAGTCCCCTCGTTTGGAGGGCTTCAAGCCCTTATATACCTGTAGCGGGTATCGAGTGTTGCGCATTGCCGATTGTGCGACCTACTACTTAGTTTGTGCATGGAGTATTTCAGTAAAACCCCCAACAGTTACCATTAAATACAACTTTCTCACGGAAAGTGAATGTTTGGTCACCGAAAATAACGTGATTAAAGGTAAATTTTCGTGTAGTATCACAAGTCTCATAAAGCATACCATAATTTTCGTGTAGTATCACAAGTCTCATAAAAGCACACCACAATCACATAAAGCATACTGCAAGTTCATTAAAACAAATCATTAGTTAATAGGAATCAATTTGAACCGAGTGGTAAAATCCATTCCACAATAGACGAGAGAAATAGAAACTAGGGACTGGACAGCGATATTAATGCAGGCATCCAAAGACAGTGGGGTAGGCGATGGGTGCGAAGCTATTGACTATGTTTGGCAATTACCCACCCATATACCCAAACTCAAATAGATCCATTCATAATGGGTAGGTTATGGGTGAAGTATATAATGGGTTTGGGGTTTGTAGATGAGTTTGGATAAAGTATGGATATTACTTCCATAATCTCATTGGGTATAGATACCCATCTACTTGAGAATGTTTTAAATACACATACAAAAATTGGACCTATTTGTACAACTTAAAAAGTTTATGTATCAAAATGTAAGACCAAAAAATTTTATCTACTAAAATATAATTTTCCATAGATATTTAGAGGACATATATGCAAAAAAAATTAAATTTGGGTACTAAATCTCTAAATCTATTAAGTTTAGGTATGAAACTGTAATTTACATTTGGGAATGAGTGCAAACCCAAATACATGTGTTAAAAACTCAACCCAACCCAAATAAATGGGTATGGGCATAAACCTATCAAACTTTACCCATTTACCTTCTATTTGAATTTCATACCCAACTCAATTGGCTTAGATAGTAAAATACCCATATGGATATGAGCAAAATTGACATCCCTACTACTAACTTCTCACAATCGAAACCAGAATCCCTAAATGCGAATGGGAGGGGATGAGCGAGACAGTAGTCGATAATGCAAAAATGACTGAAGTGGTATAAAGATTAATATTATACTCTTATTAAAAGTGTTAGCATGGTGCTAACATTATGAGGTGTTAGCACCTTATCTAGTCCTTATTATTGGGTATTTTAATTGAAGTGGTCTAAAGGTTATTTGTGAGTTTACTTTGAGAACAACCTATAGAGTATAGCATATTATATATAGGGCATCTGATGTATTTTGAGTCAAGTATAATTCAAGACGGCATTGTTAATATAGTGGTCGATCAAGGTCATATTCCATGATTATCGATACCTTAGGCTACTTCTCACTTTGTTATTATCTGTCATTCGGTTTAGGATTGTTTTGGAGGTCAAATGGTAAATACTAGCTTAAGAAAGCAGAGATAAAAGTAGGTACTTGGGTAAAATAGAGGGAAAATGGAGGGATTTAGAACTTTCCTCATATTCATAAGTTTTGGTATAGTACAGGAGAATGATTATTCTGAGAGAGAAGCTGTTCTAGCAGTTCCACTCCCCCAATTTGGGGTGAAAACAATTGTTATCTCTTGAGTATCTTTTCCCTTCAAAATTGAACAACACTTTTCTCTTATTATTTCACTACTCTAAAATTTTCACTCTGTCAAATTTTATTTCTCCTCCTCAATTTTCTTCCACTCTTTCGTGAACAGAGTGTTAGAATCCTCGTCTTCTGGCAAAACCCTCACTAAAGGAGGGCATATAACTTCTGTAGACAATGTCTTCCTAACCATATCTTTGAAGCTATTTTTTTTATTGGTAAAATGACATTAAACAGTTAACTCTTCTAAGGTATAAAGAACCTTGATTTCACCTCAGCACCGGAAGAATAGCACTCCGGCCGAGATCATCTACTATGTTCCAATGTCTTCCAATGAGAAGTTTAGTTTGTACAATAAAAAAATTATGCAAAAATGTAGAGGTACAAAATGAAATTGCCATAACGTTAAAGGTACAAGTTTATTTTGTATCGTAAATGAATTTGTTCGAAAAGGTACAGTGACAAAATGCATTTTCATTATATTGTTAAAAATACGAGTTCAGTCTATATCATAAAGAAATTTGTACACAAAATATAGATACAAATTGAATTTGTACTATAAAGTAAAATATACAGGACAAAATTTTAAAAATAATTTCAAGAATGTTATTTATGCATGCATGGTTGTAACTCTGCTAAGGTATAAAGAACCTTGATTTCACCTCATTACCGGAAGAAGAGCAGTGTGGCTTATGTTCTAAAGTATTGATACCTTCAAGTACAAGTTGAACTTATATCGTATATAACGTTGAAGATATAATTTCAGTATATATCATCAAAAAATTTATAAAATATTGTACAGGCTATCATAAAGGAATTTGTAAAAAAGGTGCAGTTGTTACGAAATGTTTTTACATCATAACATTAAAAATACATTGTAGTATGAAGAAATTTATATGAAAAATATAGATACAAATCGAATTTTTACCACAAAGAAAAAAATACATACAAGTCGGAGTTTCAACAACAAAAGAGTAATTGTATAGCTAAAAAGGAATAGTTGCAAATTGCATTTCGATCATAGTGTTAAAGATACTTGTTCTAATTAGGTTATAACTTTTTGTATTAGTAGTGGCAAGCCTCCGTGATAAAACTAAAACCAACCGTAATGGTAACGACATGATGCTTCCCAAATTCGGATTTGGCTAGACCGACTTAGTTAGGAGGAATAGAACACCAATCCTTCTAGGATTAGGGAACCACTTAACCTTTGTATTAACTAATATATATACATGAGTATGCCCTAGCTACTTTATTGTATTTGCCACAATGACGCTAACTTGCCCCGCGATTTTCAGCACCAAATCCAACATCATCGATTCGGCCATCTCCGTCGGTTCTAACGGGTGGCCAGACGAATGTCAAGGCCGAAAAAACAACGACCTTCTCATGAAGCGGCTCACCAGAACAAGAGCAAGAATAGGAAAGAACAATAAGGAGAAGGAGCACTCTGCTCCTCAGATGAAGAAGAGGAAGAACGGGAAAGAAATCACCACAGAATCAACAGGCATCCTCGTGCTAGGGCTCGCTAGCTGGTGAAGAAGAAGGGTCGAGAGGTATGGCGTTGCTGCAGCCTTGGGAAGATAGGAGCGATTTGGTAACGGACGACAGGAGAAGAAGACTCGTGCAGATGGCTAACCGTTAAAAATAGACTTCTATGTGTCAATATTTTGGTAATTTGTGTTGAACGATAAATAACATAATAAACTCTGACTTTAAATTTTTTATCCCCCTACCTAAATTCATGGCTCCGTCCTTGCTATACCATAAAGAAATTTTTACATAAAATATAGATACAAATTGAATTTGTACTATGAAGTAAAATATACAGGACAAAATTTTAAAAATAATTTCAAGAATGTTATTTATGCATGCATGGTTGTAATGTGTTTGTCAGCTTGCGGAATATTATGCACCCACCAACCAGCCCAAGCTTCAATCTTAACAAATCAAGTTTTTTGTTTCATTTTTCAGCTTCAACATCTTGCTAGTGTTTTTATTTTTGTTGGTAAAATGCAATTAAAACAGTAACTCTGCTAAGGTATAAAGAACCTTGATTTCACCTCAGTACCGGAAGAAGAGCACTTCGGTCTATGTTCAAAAGTATTGATGCCTTCAAGTACAAGTTGAACTTATACCGTATATAACGTTGAAGATACAATTTTAGTATATATCGTAAGAGAATTTGTTTAAAATGTACAAGTTATCATAAAGAAATTTGTATGAAAAGGTGCAGTTGTTACGAAACGTATTTACATCATAACATTAAAAATACAATGTAGCATAAAGAAATTTATATGAAAAATATAGATACAAATCGAATTTTTACCACGAAGTAAAAAAATACATACAAGTCGGAGTTTCAACAACAAAAGAGTAATTGTATAAACTTAAAAGGAATAGTTGCAAATTGCATTTAGATCATAGCGTTAAAGATACCTGTTCTAATTAGGTTCTAACTTTTTTTATTAGTAGTGGCAAGCCTTCGTGATAAAACCAACCGTAATGGTAATGACCAGATCCTTCCCAAATTCGGATTTGGCTAGACCGACTTAGTTAGGAATAGAACACCTATCCTTGTAGGATTAGGGAACCGCTTTACCTTTCTATTAACTAATATATATACATGAGTCTGATTTCTGAAAACAAACGATTCAACCCTTTTGCCACTAATCTCTCACTTTAGATCAGTTCTGCCCTAGCTACTTTATTGTACTTGCCACAATGACGCTAACTGGCCCGCGATTTTCAGGACCAAATCCAACATCATCGATTCCGCAATCTCCGTGGGTTCTAAAGGGTGGCCTGACGAATGTCAAGGCCGAAAAAACAACGACCTTCTCAAGAAGCGGCTCACCAAAACAAGAGCAAGAACAGGAAAGAACAATAAGGAGAGGAGCACTCTGCTCCTCAGATGATGAAGAGGAAGAACGGGAAAGAAATCACCACAGAATCAACAGGAAGCCTCGTGCTAGGGCTCGCTGGTGAAGAAGAAGGGTCGAGAGGCATGGCGTTGCTGCAGCCTTGGGAAGAAATGAGCGATTTGGTAACGGACGTCAGGAGAAGAAGACTCGTGGAGATGGCTAACCGTTACATGTGAAAGCACTACTCGGAAGACGCGTATAACGGCGGCGATGGGAGTTCGCCAAAGAGGCAAAGGCTTGGCAACTAAACTTGATTCTACGACCGACTGCTACGTACTAAGTTGTTAAACTAGAGTTAAACCCTAAATTTGTCCTTAATTAATTAATCGAATTGCTAAAACAGCTGCGAAGAGATGCATTTTATTGTTAATATCAATAGTCAAAGAAGATGTGGAGACTCACTGCATTCAGCGTTTTCTGTATTTGAGTTCATAAAAAAAACAGCCTTGTTGTCATCTGTTCGAAATTGCACCATAATGTCGTTTTCTTTCATTCTTCGAGTTCTTCATTATTCTTGTTTACGAAATTCGAAGCTGCCTTCCTTGAATATGTGTCTTTGATAGGAGTTTCATATTTAGAGGGCTAAGGATACCTAAATTAAATTGATAAGAAAAAGCTATTAATGAAGATGTTGTTTTAGAAAGGAATACTATTTGATTGATCAACAGCAACAAAAAAAAAAAAAAAAGAGTTAGGGATGACAATATAACCAACCAAATCCAAAATCGATTTGATGAGGAAAAAAGCAATGGATATTACTTTTGAGTGGTTTTTCGTAACCCGCTAAAGAGGGTAATGTGTTCGGCATGATTTTAATATTTTAAGTATTTGAATCGAACCAACTTGGATATGTGTTATAACTATGGTTTATACTCACTCGCTTCAATACTTCCGTCATCCATAACCAATATTATAATTATGTATTAAACCTAAATCTTTGCCCCTCTCTTTTATGATCAATGTCTTCATAAAACTTAAAAATGCCATCTACGTATCTTCTAACACTACAAGAAAAAGTGGTTTTTGCAACCAAAATCTTTACAACCAATGTAAAATTGGTTGCGCAAATGCTAATATTGACAACCAATTACATTTTGGTAGCAAACAAATTAAAAATTTGGTTGTCTATTGAAATCAAAGTATCGATAACCAAATAAACCTTGAGAAGACCAAATAATTTGGTAGCAAAATGATTTATACTTTTCTCAACCAAATAATTTTGGTAGCAAAATGATTTATACTTTCTCCAACCAAATAATTTTGGTAGCCAAATAATTTTTAGTTTATTCAACCAAATAATTTGGTAACATATTGAATTTTACTTTTTCTCAACCAAATAATTTTGGTAGCAAAATGATTTATACTTTCTCCAACCAAATAATTTTGGTAGCCAAATAATTTTTAGTTTATTCAACCAAATAATTTTGGTAACATATTGTTTTGAAAAGTCAAGAACATCAACCTTCAATTTTGCCCTGCACAAAACCTAACACCAGCCGACCCATCAAACAGATAGCATGAAAACTCTATCTTCTACTCTTCTCTTCTTCTTCCTCAATCCTTCTCCAGCTCTATTTTCAAGAGCCTCTACAGCTATCATCAAAGGAGCATTCAATCCTCCCAAATCAAGAGCCTGCAAAACAACTGAGAGAGCTAAAGAAGATCATAACGCAGTTAAGATATGGATTCGAAGCATTGAAGAATGGCCTTGTCATGGCAGACCTCCAACCAATGAGGGGTGTGCCATCATAGAAGCAGACCTCAGAGTTGCCACTACTCCACCGCCCAAACCACCTGAAAAGAAGTCAACCAGAAAACAGCAGAGGAAATCAAGCATCAGCACCAGAGGCAGTAAATGCTCTGGGATTTGGAAGGTTGAGGAAGCAAAATTTATTGCACCTCTCTCAGGTAGTTCCCAGTGTATCAGAGAGACACAAAGAATGTACTGCCACAGAGCACCTGAGATAGTGACAAGGGTAGGCTGCGCAGCAATCATGAGCACCCAGAAGCATAAATGCTCGGGGAGAGAGGTAGAAAGAATTAAGTGCACTACGCAGTGCTATCCGCCGAGATCTACACATAAAGATCAAACAACAGGAGGCAAAGTCAGAAGGAGGGATAGAGCGGCCGATAGTTGCTGCCATAAATGGGATTTATTTGGATACACGGCAAGAAAATCGATCGGAGGTGAAGGAACCAGGGGGCATTTAATACTCAGAGAAGCCAGCAGACCATCCAATCGTATCAATCAACGCATGAAGATCCTAAAGGCCTATTTAAAGGGAGAAAAACCAGATGAACCAGCATCCTACTACCCATCCATTCACGAATCCACAATCTGTGCCAAGAAAGCCCCAAAAAACCCAGAATCAACTATTGCACTCTGCAAAAGGAGAAATCCCAGTCAACCACAAATGGAGTCGCAATACAAGAACCTGAGGGGAGAGGAGTCATCTGGTCCTCAATGTGAGGCCTACCATTGTCGGGCCCGGGGCAGTGGGATGGTTATGCTCCTGGGAAAATGGATAACAGACACCAGCATCAACCTACCAAAAGTAAGAAATGCAGCAGTTAACAATTGGAGAGCATATGGAGAAGTACAAGCAACAAAGGAGGCGGAGAACCTGTTTGTCTACTCATTCCAGTCCACCAAGCAAAGGGACGCTGTGTGGGAGGCTAGGCCGTGGAATCTAAGCAACACCCTGGTGGCTTTGAAGAAGTGGGATGGCGAACAAAAGGCGGAACCATCAGACATACCAACAGTTACCCTTTGGGTCCAGATGCATGATTTACCACAATCACTGAAATATGAGGAAGCGGTGCAGGCTGTTGCTGCCTTCATTTTCCCCCAATTCCACTATGTCGACCAATTGAACTTCGACTTCAGGGGCTGGTTGAAGTTCATCAGAGCCAAGGTGGAGGTGAGTATTGATGATCCCATCCCTATTGGGTTTGAATACCCAGTCGGGGATCGCTCCATCTGGGTCAGCTTCAAGTATGAAAGGATAATGGATCTCTGCTACTTCTGTGGGAGGCTTGGGCATCTGGTCCACAACTGCTTGGAGAGGGAGGAACATAGAAGGATGGGGCTCAACACCGACCCGTCGGAAGTCTACACCGATGCACTAAGAGCTGGCCAAGACTCACCGGCGAACACTCCACCGGCGTCTTTCAGGGAAAAGCTGGCGAATTCCAAACGCCTAACAAACCCAGCAGTGGTGACTCAGCAACTTCGAGACAATCGAGGCAAATCTTCCCAGATTACCCTAGCGGGTCTCCCAATACTGGGACCGTTTAGCAGCCCACCAGGGTACGCCAATGTGACAGGCAGTGGGAAAGAGCCAGGATGGGTCTTCAGAGTAGAAGGCAGCTCCCCAACACTGTTTATGCAGACTGCTTTTCTAGAAATGGAAATGGAGGCCACGACCAGAGCTATGCAAAAGAGTCTCGACCTAGGGGAGAAAGAGGCCAACAGGGATAAGATGGTGGGCCTATTTGAAATGGGCCAATCGCTCTACCTGGACAGCTCTTCCTTAAGTCACACCGAAGCCCATCACGGCCCAATTCTCCTGACCCAACTCAATCAAGGCAGCACCAACCAAGGGAGCAGCTACCAGGCCCAATCCACTAATCTGGCAACAGAGCCCATCGGATTTTCTACCGAACTTGACCCACCCAGACCGGAGAAAAAGAGGAAGCCTGAGACCAGAGTCATCCCAGTGGCAGCTGCCCAGCAACAGGAAGCCCCATCTAACATTTCATTTAGTTCTCTGTCCTTTGTTCCAAGGGAGAGTAAGAGAACCTACCAGAGAAGGAAGCACATCATCAGGAGGAAAAGCCTGGCGGAGATCACGACGGAAGAATACCATTCCGGAGAAGGGGAATCTACCACTCCGAGGGAGACGGCGGCAAGCCTCAAGCCGCCTCACCAAGAATGAGATTCATAAGCTGGAATTATAGGGGGTTCGGCCAACCTCTTACAAGGAGCTACTTCGGCAGGCTGTGTCGCCAGTTTGGCCCCTCGGTCCTCTTCCTTATGGAGACGAGGAAGGAAGAAGCGTCTATGGAAGCAAGGAGAAGAGTGATGAAGTTCGATCATGCAGAGTATGTCGGTCCAGAAAGGGAAGGTAGTGGCCTTGCCCTGTGGTGGAAAGATGATGTTAATGTGTGTGTGTTAGAGTCATGTAAGTCCTTCATGGACACCAGGATTAGCAAGGATGGGGTTAGTTTCTACTGTACTTTTTTTCACGCTCCTACCACGGCGGTAGAGAGACGACAGTTGTGGGATCGACTTACTTCTCTTAGGACGATCCAGGGTGAGAGGTGGCTAGTGGTTGGGGACCTCAATGTCGCTATCTCCCCTTTTGAGAAGCAGGGAAGATGCCCTTTAAGGAATGAAAATGTTGCCCCTTTTAAGTACTTCATGGCTCGAAATGTTCTGGTTGATCTTGGGTTCTCAGGCCAAGTCTTCACTTGGAGCAACAAACAACAAGGAACTGAACTGATTAGAGAAAGGCTTGATCGGGCTATTTGCTCGACGTCTTGGAGAACAACCTATGAAACGGCTACGGTTTACCATGAAGACTTTGTTGAGTCGGATCATTGCCCAATCAGGATTGACCTCAATCCAACAGGTCAAGCTCACTGCACACCCTTCAGGTTCGACAAGAGGTGGAGGGAGAGTGAAGAATGTTGTCGAATTATTTTGCATAGATGGATGAGAGGGGGGAGTACCAATAACATTCTGATGGATTGCCAGAAGGAACTTCAGAATTGGGCTAGAGCAGACAGACGAAGGAAATTACAAAGAGAAAGAGACATTAGACAAAGACTTCAATCCCTACAAGGGGCAAGTGGCTCCCCGGACAAAGCTTTGGAAGAAAGGGACCTCCTTCGAGAATTGGAATCCATCTGGACCTCGGAAGAGAGTTTTTGGGCACAAAGATCCAGAATTTCCTAGCTTCAGGAAGGGGACCAGAACTCAGGCTTCTTTCATGCCAGCACCATTAAAAGGAAGAACAGGAATCGCATCACCAAGCTGAAGGGCGCGGATGGAATCTGGATTGATAATGCCCAGGATTTGAAGACTCATGCCTCTGATTACTACCAAAACCTTTTCACAACCAACGACAGACACTGTGATCCGAGGATCTTGGAGGGCTTCCCCATGTTGGTGACAGAGGAATACAACATTGGCTTGTGCGCACCAGTTGGCAAGGCAGAGATCCGCAAGGCAGTCTTCCAACTTGGAGCAAACAATGCTCCAGGGCCCGATGGCTTCCCAGGCCTTTTCTTCAGGAAATACTGGAATACAATTGGGGATTCCTTCTGCAACGAGATCACCAATTTTTTCCTGACATGTCTCTTGCCCGAGAACTGGAATGACACGTTCATCACCATCATCCCCAAAGTGGAAGCGCCCGAACAAATCAGCCAATTCAGGCCGATTAGCTATTGCAATTTCAGGTATAAGGTCATCACAAAAATTATGACAAACAGACTGCAACCTCTGCTGCCAGAACTGGTCAATGAACTTCAAGCGGCATTCATAGGAGGGAGACAAATACAAGATAATATCATAATTATGCATGAGGTCCTCAACCATTTCAAAAAGAATAAATCAGGAAACCGAAAGGAGATGATGATGAAGCTGGATATGAGGAAGGCTTACGACTTGGTTGAATGGGACCTCCTCATCACCCTTCTCAAGGCGTATGGCTTTAACGAGGTCTGGTGTGGGTGGATATTTGCCTGCATCTCCACAGTCTCTTTCAATGTGCTCCTCAATGGGGAACCAACTGCTGACTTCAAGCCATCTAGGGGCATCCGACAAGGGGATCCCCTCTCCCCCCCTCCTCTTTATCCTGATGTCGAATGCACTGTCGTTCCTGGTTGAAAAGGCTGTCATGAATAATGGGATCAAAGGAATCAAGCTCAACAGAACGTGCCCTACTCTCTCCCACTGCTTATTTGCAGATGACACAGTTATTTTTTGAGAGGCTTCTTGCGAGGAAGCGGGGAAGATTTTGGACATCCTCCAAGAGTATGGAGCGGTCACCGGTCAAGAAGTCAACATGGACAAGTCATCTATGTTCTTTAGCCTCAATGTCACAAGTGAAGACCAAGGAAGGATTATCCAGGAGGCTGGGTTTGATCCTAGTAACTGCCATTGCAGCTATCTGGGGGTGCCAACAGTGTGGGGCAGGTCAAAGAAAGAAACATTCAATTACCTCCTCCAACGCATGGAATCAAAAGGAGAGGCCTGGAAAAGCCTCGTTCTCTCACCAGGGGGGGAAAAGAAGTTTTGCTTAAAGCGGATTTTCAAGCGGTACCTACCTACATTATGAGCCTGTTCCTCCTTCCAAAGAGCACAACGAAGAAAATGGACTCAATGCTTAAAAGCTTCTTCTAGGGGGGCTCTATGGTGAAACGAACTATTCACTGGAGGGCTGGACATGTTGTTTACGCACCAAAAGAGGAGGGAGGGCTCGGGTTTCGACCTTTCCACACTTTCAACATGGCACTTTTGGCCAAGCAGGCTTGGAGAATCCTCACCAACAAGGATACCTTGTGGGTCAAGGTACTGAAAAGCATTTACTTCCCCAACTCGGATTTCCTGAATGGAAAAAAAGGCAGCAAAGCCTCGTGGATTTGGTCCAGCCTATGTGAAGAAAAATCATGGATGGGACAAGGGCTAATTAGAGTTATTGGCAATGGTAAATCAACGAGGATTTTTCATGATCCCTGGAGATTTGACAGAGCAGGGCCCCTCCTCCAATTCGACTGGAATGAAAATGCTACTGTTGACTCTTGGATTGATGAGGTGTCAAGGGAATGGAAGTTCGATCTGCTTGCAAATTTCCTCAGCCAGCATGACCTGAAACAGGTGGCAGCCATCCCTATTGGACCGGATTCACTTGATGACTTTTGTGCATGGAGGTTCACAGAGCAAGGGTCCTTCACGGTTAAATCAGCTTTCACCCACTTTCATAACAGCACCAGACAGTCCCAAGTACAGGCTGAGGACTTCTCTGAAGTGAGCAAAAAAAGGTGGAAGTGGCTTTGGAGCCTCTCGATCCCACCGAAACTGAAATTCTTCATTTGGAAGGTGACCAGAGGGGCTTTGGCGTCCAAAGAAAACCTCTTTGCCACGAAGTGCACAGCCTCAAAGAGTTGCCCGATCTGCGACTGCTCGTCGGAATCGATCTTTCATTGCCTGTTCACCTGCCCCCATGTTGCCGAGGGGTGGAACCAAGAATGGCCTTCCTTGCCCAGACCTGCCCCTCTTTCCTCTGTCCTGGTGTGGCTGGACTCTCTCCGCCAGAGGTACCCGATCAGCTCAATTCAGAAGATCATCTTCCTCATGTGGCAGACATGGAAAGCAAGGAACGAGAAGATCTTTCGGGGAACTCCTCCTTGGCCCCCAGCCACCATCACGAAGGCAGCCTCTGATCACCTCCAGTGGACCACGTGCCCTAGGATCCACCCCATTGGTTCCCCATCAACTCAGCCCACTCCACCCCCTGAGCACTCTTCACCACCGCCAGGTACTCATGACTTTGAAGTACACTGCGACGGATCGTTCTTTGACGATTCCCAGAAGGCGGCTTATGGCGTCGTTGTTTCGAACAGCCATGGTCAAGTGTGTGATGGTAAAGCTGAGTCTGTGCATTGTTTCTCCCCAATTGAAGCAGAAGCCTTGGCCCTTCTGGAGGGCTCCCGATTGGCTGCCTCGCTCACAACCCCCTGCCTGGTGAAGTCTGATTGCCTGCAGTTGGTACATGCTATCGATTGGCACCCCAGGACATGGCCATGGCGAGCGGCTGCAAGGCTAGGTCTGATCAAGCTTATTCTGGACAGTAACCCGCAGATCAAGATTCAACACATCGGTCGAAAATTCAACTCCAAAGCGAATTGGGTGGCCAGATCCTGTGCTAACAGCCAACTTCCCTCGCAATGATTGCAAATTCTTGATATGGTTGCACCTCTCCTATAATGGTTGGATTTTGCTTCAATTAATGGAAATTCAGTGTCCTTTGTCAAAAAAAAAAACAAATATTATTGGTATCAATTTATTTTTTAAATCATTGATAGCTAAATAAACTAAGTTGTTTGGTTGTATTAAGTTGATGATAAATAAAGTTTAGGCATGACATATGGCTACATTCAAATTTGGCAGCGATAGTGTTAATTAACTTTATGTAAACAAATAACAACTCCACATTTACTTTTCCATTTTCCTGCTAACCTATTCCGTCTCCAACTCTTCTCTTTTTTTTTTCTTTCTCATTTCCCTCTTTGCTACTTAGAACTCTTTGAGATCCGACTACCAAATCGTGAACCATTCTCTATTTCTTTCGTTCAGTAATCAAATCGCTGTCCATTTGCATTTGATTCCCTCAATCAACTACCAAATCGCGATCCAGGAGAGTCGGTTATGGTGGGGGAGATTGGGGATCTTAAGAATCCAACAAGGATTTTTTTTGTAAATCCTCGATTTTCAGCATCGATTCGACGTTTCGGTCTCGTTTTGAGGATGCAACGAGCAATTCCTTGAGCGATGAGCGAGTTCTTCTTAGTGGCGATTCCGTTGCCGGTCGATTTCAAGAACTAGGACAGAACTTTGAAGATTCCATCAAAGCGAGACCGCCGCGAGCTGCGATTGCTTCTCCTCCCCTCCCGTTGCGGCTGCTCATCAAGCTCAGCAGCTCCTCCAGAACCACCGCACGATTCTCCTAGGATTCCCATGAGAAACGGTCTAACACGGCGGCGATTGCTCCAAATGGAAATCCAGTTATGCTCGCTTTTGTTCCCCTAGCTGTCGATCATCCTCAAACTCTCCCGGAAGTCACTGCCCCTGGTAGCTCAGTTAGTGAGAAGGATACTCTAGATTCTCAGGCACAAGACGTGTTGTGATTGGACATGAAGGAAAAGATACAGAAGCTAATCATTTGCTTGATGATATGATTGGGAGAGCCTCAAAATCAACCACCGGGTGTTAGGAACAATATTGGTCATTTGTTGGATGATATGAATGGGAGAGCTTCAAAAGCTTCTTTATCCCGATGATTCATCGTATAAGTGGTTTTGCGGCATTCTATCCCTTCTCTGCTACTTTTCACACTTTGCGTTAGTTGGTTTAGCTGCAAGGTGTAGACGGCCAGAGGGGAACATAAGGTTTGTATCTGGTTTGACACTCATACTTCAAGCTTTGATTGTTGTTGAGTCTAGAATCGGTAGTCTTTGACTGCAATTGCTGACTTCTGATGCATTAATAATGGCAGTTATCTATTTTGAAATTGCTTCTATTTGGTATTTATTGTTTGGATTATCAGAGCTTGAAGGCTGAAGCAAAGGTTTGTTGTTGATTTAGCATACCAATTCACCAAATATCATGGCTAGGTAAACCTTTCCCTTCTCTTTAAGTTCTGATGATTGTCCACAAGCTGCGAGTTATTACTCCAATTTGTATTGGTTGAATTGGCAGGCAACTTAATGCCCCCCTCTTTTCTGGAGCGTTGAATGTGTCTATTATGTTTTTAGGCTGAGATGATTCAAGAATCATCTCTTTCTAAGCTCCATGAAGAACTACATAACATGTTCAAGTTTCTGTTTACCTTGCTGAGCTCTCAGATATCAACCATCTTTGAGTTTTATTCTTGTGATTGTATAATTCTGTGTTGGGGTCTACTTTCACTGCTTATTCATCCATTGGAATGAATTTGTAAATGAAAACAGTAGACAGTAATTGTGGTACATCTTCATTAATAATATTGAAAATTTCTCACTTTGCATGTTTCTTTATAAGTACCCTGTACCTAAAGTGCTTGCTTCAGAATCTGGCGTCCTTTCTTCAACCTACCACTCTCAACAAATTAACCTTTTCTTTCTTGATTTCTCTGTTCTAGCGTGGCCATTATATCAGATCAAAGAATCATCAGTTAACTTGTAAATTGTTGACTAATTATGATTGCTCCATATACTAGACTATTTTCATGCAATTAATTTCTCTGTTCATATACTGAGAACTGATTGTTTCCTATATCTGTAGCATTCATCTTTTGGTTGTAGTTCCAGAGAACTTAATATACTCTATTGATGCGATCACCTAGCCATCATTGTATTTGTAATTCATTTTGTTTCTCTTAGCTTCATTTGTATCTTTTTTGGCTTCACCTCTCAGATTTAATCGTTTCTTCTTCAACAGGGGCGGTTGTTATTATTCTTCTTCTAGTTGGTTTCTTGCGCTGTGCATATGAAATATGTGTTTTCTATCTTACGGCTGGTAAACATGCTTCCAGGAGCTACTCTCCTTCTGGCTTCTATGCTGGCTTAATCACAATTTCCTAGGCAATCAACATGTTGTTTATTGGCAGAATGAGCAACTCTGTGTTTCTGCCTCTCAGCTCTAGTTACCAGGTTTGCCTCTATTCTATATAATTATTTTTATTTTTCTGCATAATTATTGACAGTATGGTTGGTTGATCATACTCTATTTGGTATTTATGGTTTCTAGTGAGAGTTAATGAAGCTTTTTTTTTTCATTCTCTAGTTGTAGATAATGAATTAAGTTTCAGTTTTAGATGATGTTTGGGATAGATTGGACCTCCAATTCTACTGCTCACCTTCTTTGTTCCCAGTTCGATGCAACATTCTGGTGAAACATGGAGCTTCTGTAGCTTGATGCTCTCTTTGACATATATGGAGAATCTTGAACTCACTTTTGTTGAACTTGTTAATCCTATTATGTTGGGGAAGCAAGAGTTAGTCTGGGGCTTCTGGTTGCATTAATTTGTCTGTACTTGTCTGTGATAGAGGTATAAATATAAATGGCCTATGTGTAAGGGTATGAGGAGTTTTTCCTTCTTACTTCCTGCTTAATTTTTAAGTTCAACTGCTTCTTTTGCCATTGTCTGGAGAATTTTACCTTGATGGTGAAGAATTGAATGACGAACTATTGGCAACTATAAGAGAATGTTTATATTTTGCAGAGTTCTTGACTTGTGCTCAATCTGACTGTTCTCAATTATGTGAAAATTTATGTTCTGCAGGTGGATCTATTTTAGTAGGGTTTAAGAGAGCATTGAATGACTACTAGTCTCTTCTCATTGGTCTAACTAAAAAAGGTGATTGGTTGTTCTTTAAGTTTGCTTCTCTCTTTTATTCTTCTTGTTAATAAGTAGCTGATTGCTTTGAATTTTGTTCTCCAGAACATGGAATTGAGGACTTGATCAAGTTTAGGTACAAGAATTGTTGTTCTCCAGGTACAAGAATTGTTGATTCTTGTACCTCTGAAATTAGGTATAAAGTCAGCACCCGAGCTCTTTCGGGATTACTTCGAAACCTCTGGCTCTTTTGGCTAACCCGTCTTTGCTACAGGACAAGTTTTCCTAAGGACAGGTTAGGCATATGCTTAAATTAAATCCTTCTTTTTCTTTTCCAAATTGCTGAACAACTGCAACTAGATTGGCAAATTGAACATTCAGGGGACAGTTTAAGCTTTAGAAGGAATTCTCACAGACAGCAAGAGAGCCAGCTTAAGCTTCTATCTTTCGCCTCCAGTTACCAGGTTTAGGCTATGTTTTTCGGCATTTCATCTATGAGCCGATTATATCTTTAGTCTTGCAAGCTACCTAATTCACCTCCTATATTTGGTTTATGTTTGACTGAAAGAATGGTGTTCATGTATGCAGTTTTTCCATACCCTTGATGTGGATACAATCCATTACCTTATGATTTGTAATATTCATCCAAGCTATCCTCGCATGACATATATCCGAAATGGTTGGATGGTTCATTTGCTTATCAAGTTAGTGATACATACGATTTATCATTGAATAGGTAAGTAGAAGCTCAATGTTGAAGTTAGTTTTTCTTTCCATTTTCTTTTGCACTCTTTTCATATTTCATATCATGTGTTAGGTTGGCGTTCATATTTGGTTGGAAGGCAGCAGAGTGACCCATAATAGATTTTGTATGAGAAAGCAATTTGGATTGCCTAATCGTATTTGCAGAATTTAAAGAATAACGAATGCTCTTTAACATTCATATTTGGTAGGAAGGCAGTACAGTGATCCATCCTGCTCTTGAGCGCCTGACAGCGAGCTTGGTGGTCGGATTGGAGGGGCTTGAAAGCTTTATCTCTGTAATTGTGATTTTTGAAATACTGGGTTTATTTTTAGGGATAAAATTGTTTAATTGTGATTTTTGTTAATAAATATTTTTTTATATATGAGATATGATATGAAGCAAATTTTTATTAAATTTAATTTAATTTTTCAATTTCCTTTTTAGTGACAAAAATCTCAACAATAAATTTGGCCATATTAAATTATTTATTTGGTTGGCTAAAGTGTTTTCCGCAACCAAAATTCATGGTTGTGATAAACTTTTATAACCAAAAGAATTAGTTATCTAAAATGATATAATAGGTCGTCGTATGTATTTTCACAACCAAAATTCATGGTTTTAATAAACTTTCATGACATAAAAAATTGGTAGTCATTATGATATTATTGGTTGATAATAATCACATAAATTAATTGTCATTTATATCTATGGCGACCAATCATCTACATTTATCAACCAATAAAGTTAACTATAACAACCAATTTAAAATTGTCACAAAAAATCCGGGGTTTTTACCTTGGCAAAAGTTGGTTGCGATAGCTGTCCTATTCGCTACCAATCATTATTTTGGTCGCGGTAGGATTTAGTAACGCGACTATAGCGACCAACTCTGCTACCAAATATTTTTTGTTACAAAAAAGTATTAAGCACAAGAAATGAAGTTTGGTGCTGAAGGAACATGGGAAACAAAGGAAACCAGCTAGATGAAGATGAAGACTGATGCAGCTGAGGGTGTTTAGGACAACTCTCAGCTTTGGAATGAAGCCAAGGGAGAAGAGGGACCACAGTGAAGGGTATCTTTGTCAATGCCTCTTCTTGTTTTTGTTTTTGGGGAACACTGAAAGTGACTCTTGTACTTGGTTTGTTTTTTTAGCTTTTGTCTGTTAGTTTTAAAGGTAGCATATCAATTTAGAGTTTGATCCTTTAAAAGGTTGTTGTCTCTTCATTTTGATGTAATGTGAGAGAACTACTTTGGTTGGAAATGAGAAAGTGGATCTAAAGCACAAAAGCTTCAGCCACTATTTG